ACATAAAAAGGTACTATTACAGATCAAAATCAAACATGTAATGGTGAGAGTACATTGCAGTTGTAATGCTTTCTAGAATAGGTAGGTCTACGAACGGTGGTGTGTTTGTTTGTTTTTTGGGTTTTTTTAAGAAATGGTGTGAAAGAATTATATACTTTAGTAGGAGGATATTCCAAGCATAGTGGGTTGCACAACCACATGCAGTGAAAATTTACTGTATATTAATATTTATTATCCACCATTGGCACATTTGTCAGTTATCCACTGTACTCAAAATCTGCTATGTACTGCTTTACATATAGTAACATACAAACAACCTGTCCAGATGATTGTTTTCTAATGTAAAAATTTAACAGCTGCAAGGATCAGAACATTAGCAATGACAAGCTAGACAAAACTGTAGAGTATGGAATTTTGGATCATGTGAAGATAAAAGATGCTGCCTCAAATTACTTATCCAAACAAGGATAAAAGCTTTTAAATGATTATAAAAATAATAATAAAATACCTGAGATTTAACAAATACACTCTCCAAACATTGTCCTCTGTCATCAAATAAGGTTGCCTGTATTAAAATAGGATAATTTTAAAAAACAATTGTGTTTCAAAAAGCAAATAGAGTGACACAAATAGAAGCTGCAAGAGTAGTACTATATACGATACTCTGATACAGTATCATACTACATTAAACCTGAATTCTTCACCTTATTTCCTCCAATACTGGTCTTCAAAACTCCATCTTGCCATATTTTTGATTTCTTAGTCTTCTGATGAGTGTACAAGACCTTATTCAAAAAAATGTAAACACAAATTATTTACAGTGGTCATACACGCATATTTGAATTTTATATACAATTTTAAAAATAAGACTCACAGTAAACTCCTGACAAGCCATTGCTTTGGTGAAACAAAGCAATCCAAAGGCTTACTGCGGGTATTCAGATCTTCACACTACCCAAAAGAGAGACGGGCATATTTAGAATTCAACTCAGCTGCAATGCAAGTGTGTCAGACAAAAAAGATACACATCCAGTTCTTTCCCTATAAGGGAGTGGGAAGTAAGACATGGCAAAAACTGGATGGTGGTGCTAGTGAAGGAATTTTGGAGTTCTAAAGACTCATATGGTGAAAATAAGCTAACAAAAATAAAAATGATTAGCAAAAGTAGCATTTTTAGTACATCTCAAGAAGAGGTCTAATTTTCAGAGGTGCTGAGCATCTTTAACTCCTATTCATTTTAATGGAAGCTCTGGCTGATAAACTGATTTTTCAGAGATGTGCTAATATCAATTAATATTTATACATACTTTGAAAATTAGGCTAATAATTTTCAAACAGAAAATAACATATCCACTACTAACAAATTAATAAAGATTTTTCAAATCCCTAGTGATTTGGTGGGTCTTCATTTTTGGGTACCTAATTTTAAACACCACAAAGGGGCCTGATATTCTGAAAGTGCTGAGTACACATACTGCACAATCAAGCCTCTTTCAGGTGTCTCAAGTTGGGCATCTAAAATCACTAGTCACCTATAAAAATCTTGACCTAAGGCAGTCACCAGTAATCAAAGCATTATATAAACATTTCCTCATCTTCAAACATTGTGACACACCAATAGAGTAGAAAAGTAACTATTAAACATCATAACTTGTATTTATGTGTAAAGACTTGCACTTACATTGGGATCTTAATCGTCATTATTAATTGCTGACACTTCAATTAAAACACAACCACAGGAACACAGCTAACACTGGTAATTGCTCTAACTTGTTGAAATCACTGGCTGGCTCTGTAGATAGCAACATGAGTGTTTAAAAGTAATCAAACATAAGAAAAGGCATATGGCAGGACATAAAACATGGGAAAGCTGTAGAGATTATAGAAAAAGATACGATGACTAGACTAGCTATTAAAAATAGCTGAAGGGATAATGAGAATATTTAGTATATTTTAACATTTGGAGCAGTAGAGACAAGTTGAAAAAGCTCATAGGATAATTTTCTAGTTGGTCTCCAAAAGGTATTTTTGAAAAATCCTTATATGCTGATTATGTTGTTAGCAGATAAACAGATATTAAATTAGCATATATTTTCTTTCTACATAAATGTCTTTATAACTGAATAAAAAACATGTATTAGAAGATAAAGTATATTCATGCTTTTTCTCATGACAATGTCTCCCAAGCTGTGCTACCCTTTTCATTAAGAATTCCAGTTTTAAAGTGTCTTGTCTTTCAACTTCTTAAATTCTACAAAAACAACAAGGAGTCTGGTGGCACCTTAAAGACTAAGCTTGCATCCGAAGAAGTGAGGTTTTTACCCACGAAAGCTTATGCCCAAATAAATCTGTTAGTCTTTAAGGTGCCACCAGACTCCTTGTTGTTTTTGTAGATACAGACTAACACGGCTACCCCCTGATTCTTAAATTCTACACACTCACCACAAGGTGGCTCAGAACCTTTACTCTAAATTTATTCTTCTCAGTCTTGGTACTGTTTAGAGAGGTGTATGGAAAATCATGTTCCCAACTGTGCAATTCACAGATTCTGTGGCACATCACCATTTGTGGAACAATAGAGTTTCAGAAGAGAAGTCTGCACTTTCCCCTTACTTGAGCTACTAACAGTGCTAGATCAAGCCATTTACACAAAGATGGTTACTTAAGAGCAGAATGGGAATTTTCAGATAGTCTTCATCTCATCCCTAGTAACAAAATGGAACAAGAATAAGAATGGAAATTATAAAATCTGTCAGTCAATAGGTGGGCATCATGAATCAGCATTTATGTTGCACTCCCCATCAGCACGCAGCCCAGGTGAAACTAATGATTAGAGCCTTGTGCACTTACAAAACGTATATCTGCATCCGATCTGCAAACATGATCTGTGGATATAAAGCAGATAACTGCAGATTTGCAGAGCTCTACTAATGATCCAACCACAGGACCAAATTCAGTGATGAATCCTGATCACATGCCCCCTGAGGCACATTGTGGATGTGCTAAGAAGAATCAATGGGTACAATATTTTACGGTAGACTGAATAATAGGGCCACTAATACAGACTTCATGTTGTTTAGTTTATTGCCTCCTGAAAGAATATAACTGCAGCTGTTGAAAGCCTTAATGACCTAGAAAAAATCAGCAATTTTGATAATGCTTAATGTTAAAAATAAGACCGTACTGCATGTCTTTCATAGAAACTACCACAAAATGTTTTCAGAGTTACAAATTTAACAGCAGCAAAGGAAGAGAGAAATTAAAAGGAAGAAAAATAATCAACTTTTCTTTCTGATCCAGCACTAATTCCTAGAAAGTATTATGGTCCTGAAAGGATTTGTACCAGAACAAACTGTACTCATATATTCCTGGCAGGGCATGAAACATTATTATTTTGCTCTCACATCACTCCCTTCTTACTCAAGGTGATTAACAGTCACTCTCTCAAACCATTTAGAAGGGAATTTTCAAAAGCATTCCATGTTAGCCAAACACTGGTCTTACTGAAGTCAATGGGACTTTTACCACCGACTTCAATGACAGCAGAGTTCAGCCAATACTGAATGCTTTTAAAAATCCCAACGTTAAAGACTAATGGTTTTTACCCTTGAAAGTTGGGTTACTAGTGTAACTGAAGTTCTTAACATTTCAAAGTTAGATATTATTTATTTTTCTGTCTGATAGCAAGACATTAGGCTCTATAATTTTTTAGTGGTTTCTTTGGTCTGGCAGAGCTTTAAAAAGTGAACCAGGACTGACTATAGCAAATCCTGCCCCTGGAGCAAGCTGATGGGAAGCACTAAGGTGACCTGCAATGGAAAAGAGTTGGGCTTCTGCTCTTTTCCTCTAGAGGCCAGAGCACTGTACAAACATCTACCAGAGGCAGTCCCTGCTCTGGAGAGCATGCAGGGAGACCTATTTTTAAAGTGCTTAAAAAACAACAACCCATCAGCAATTCTCACACTAGCTAGGCTGGAGGCCGCTGGTGCCGGAAGGACTAGACAGGAGGCGGGGAGAGGCGTACGTCCAGACGGCCTGCGGCTCTGGTTTTCGTTACCAGACGTTTCATGTCACTGACTGACCGTTTCTATGGAGGCAGACGAGCCCCCTCCCGAGCCCGCGGGCGCTGCACTCCTGCTATTCCTGGTGTAATAAACAGCAGCAGCCCGAGCTGGCCTCTCCCGCCCCGGCCTTTCCCAACCGCCCTGGCACGGATCGCGCGCCCAGCAGCGCCGAGCCTCTCGGGTCACCGTTAAGCCGGGGCGGGGGGGGGGAGTGGCGCTGAGGGGCGATCGCTGTGCTGACCCTGATGCGTCTGAGAGATCGAGGGGGTGGGGGTGTCAGGGAGCGGGCAGGAGCCGAGCCGACCCGCCCCCTCTCTTCCCGCACCTCTCGCGGGCTCGGCCGGTCTCCCAGGTTTGAAGGTTTCCCGCGCCGCCAGCTGTCGATGACGTTATTTTCCAGCGCGACAGCCTGGAAAGCCCCGCCCCGCCTGGCAGGCGGCGGGAGAGCCGGTAGCGGGCAGGTGCCGTGCCAGTGCCACGCGCTCGGAGCGCCCTTCGCAGGCGGCTGACACTGGGACCCGGCGGAAGGGCAGGCGGGGGCCTTTCTCCCCGGGGCTGAGCGTCGCGCGCTGGTATCGATGCTCTGGCTGCTGCTGCTGCGCCAGGGAGGGCAGGAGTCCTGGGAGGAGGCGGGTTTGGGTTCCCTGGCCGCGGGCTTCTACGTCACGCCGCCAGAAGCCCGTAGGAGTTCGCGGCGGCAGGTCAGAGCCCGGCTCTCCGGACGGGGTGGGGGGAAGAGCCATGGTGAATTGTGGCAATGTGTAATCCCTTCCGCCCCGCAGGCAGGGGGCGCTGCCGGGTGCTTTCTCCGCGCATGCGTCAAGGCGCTTCCGCGTGTCTCGTGCGATGGGAAAGAGGCGTTAGTGGCGCGGGGGGCGTTGGGCGCGCTGGGGTGGCTGGTGGGGGCGCAGCTCCTCACTTGATCATCTCTCCTGTCCGTCAGGGCTTGAGGGGGTGACTCCGAAGTGCTCTGGCTGCCCCCCGTGTAACTCCCGCCCAGCACTCCGGAGTGAGGCTGTTGACACGGGGAGGGGCAGTTCCTTTGGGATCACTGCAGTGGTGTAGCGAGGGGGTTGCCTTCTGCCCTGCTGTGGTCTGCACTGGCCATCTCCGGACCGGCCATGTCTACACTGCATTGTAAACCCGACCCACGCTTGTGCATTGGGTTGAGCGTCCACCCAGTATTGTAAACCTGGGCTCACTTGTCCAGTATGTGCTACACAGACCTTCTGACTTGGGTCTGTGGCTTGAGCTGCAGCCACACTACAAAATGATATGGCTTGGACCCAAGTCTCACAGAGAATCAGGCTCTTTCCTCTCTTCCTCCTCCCCCCCCCCTCCAATGGGCCCCAGGAGCTGGGTCCTGAGTGCTTGCTGGTTAGTAGATAGACTTGTGAGTGGATGATAGGTTTGAGCCCATCCCTCTTGAGTCTGCGCTCAAGTTTCCAATGCAGTATAGAACATACTCTAAATGACTGCAATCAAGCTCTGCAGCCCCCAATTCAGTTTAAGTTAACCCTACCATACTGCATTTACACCTGCTCAACATTGTAACAAAGCTGCCAGTGCTTTTTACATGCAGCACCTTGCACATGTGAGAGTAGAATAGAATCTGGCATTGTAAGCATTAAACATGTCTCTCGGTACCACTGTGACTCGTGAACCTCTGACCCATTTCTGTTGGTTAAAAGAAGGCTTTTTTCTGACAAACCACAGTTGCTTGACAGTCGCTTACATCCTGTGATTCTTGTAAATGCCTAGCTTTCACTGAAGTCAACAAAGACTTGTTTGGGTAAGTATAGCATTGTTTGACCCATAGCTTTTACTGATACGTTTTGTTATTTTTTGTCCTTTCTGTGCTTTGATTCTTTGTACATAATGTGCTGCTCCATTTAAAATCTTTTCTATTTAAATTACTTGAGCAGCTAGTGTGCATGCCAGTTGGAAATTGAGGAATAATTAGAAAATACTCTAGGCAATAGATGTTAACTGTGAAAATGCATTGATGCTGGTTTTAATATAGTTTTGTAAAGTAGCTCTGACCATTGATATTGTGCTAGAACAGGATATTGCTATATCTACTTTGAGTAAGAAAATAGAAAAAAATGGAATGTACTTTGAGTGCCCCATTCGTAAGACAATGATTGGGAGTGCAAGCTTTTATGATTTTGGGGCATTTTCTATAACTTTATTATGGTTGAAACCTAAGAGGCTTTTTTGTACAATCCTTTGTTTTTAAAATACAAATCCAATGAATGTCAATTGTTTGACTTGATGCTGAGGCCAAGTAACATAAACCTCAGTGGTGAATGACTCAAAGGGAATAATATGAATTTCTTTTTCCACAAATAATAATGTTAGTTTCCCTCAGTTTTACAATACAGTGCCAGGTTGCGACCCAGCTAATTCAAAGCACTGTCTTGTGCTGGCTACCAGAATCATGACTAGCAGTGAAAAAGGGAGGACATCCTCTGTTGCAGGGGTGTCAATTATTTTTTTTTGTCAGGGTCTAAATTTCTTGGTCAAGGTACAGATTCCATAGAAAATAGTAATAAAAATGATTAGAATAAGTAAATAAAAAATCTCTGGTCCATTCAAAAGCGTCTGGTGGTTCGGATTTGGACTATGGTCCACATATTGACTACTCCTGCTCTGTGGGATCACTCTTCCTCCTACCAGAGCTGTGGCTCTTCCCCACCTCCCCACATGTACATCAGCCAGTACAGCTGAGCTGACATGTTGAAGAAAGGTATCTTTGCTAGGTAATAGAGCATTCATCTTCATTTCTCTTCCCCCTTCTCTTGAGCATCTTATTGTGACTTTGAGTCCTGGGGCAGTGCATCTTCAAGCTAGCCTTGCTCAGGTCTTTTGGCAAAGCCACAACTTGGGACCTGGTTAATGCTCCCAGCACAATATAGAATTTGCTTAAACTAAAATTTGGATTTGTGCAGTGTCCTTAATACTTGAAGCTTCCTAAACAGTTTGCAGATTAGTTGGATACTGATAGTTAAGTGATGGTGTAGATAAGACAAGCACAGCTTCCATTATATGATGAGCACTAGCTTTCAGAGACTTGGATATTAGGTGGTTTTTGTTTGTTTGTTTTTCAGAGAGGGGATGTTGTCTGGAATACATCTATAATGCCTGAATATTTTATTTAGAGAATTGGCTTGCAGTCTTTAACTTCTAACTGGACAGTTATCAGAGGCATCCTCTATCTGAAAAAAGTACCTCTAATTAATAGTACAATTTTTCCTTTAGCCTCCTACCAAATACTGTATTGCATTGCTGACATTTGTCTTGCAGTGTGACTTGAACTGCGTTGAACTTCTGGCTCAGTGATCAGAGTATAACCTCACTTATCCTTTCAAACTAATTGACAACTTGTTGACCTTAATTATCTTGAATGGTCAGCTCACAGCAGGGAGATAAACTGGAATCTTGCTTAGAGGAGCCTGATTTACACAATAATCTGAAAACAATTTCCATTTTTATGCCATCTTGTTATATAGATGCCTCTGATACAAGCACCACTTCCTGGTATATTGTATTGCAGTACTAGCCATTGGCCAAGCAATGGCAAGACTTATGTAGCTATCACACGTAAAATACTTCAACTTGTGATAACTTCAGTTTTAGACAGCTTCCCACTTTTGCCAAGCTGTATCTGTTTTTATTTTACACATGCAGAATAAAGTGGTCTGAAAGACTGGTCATTCTTAAGGTTGAAGAGTGACTAGGGTAAAAATAAATTAGAGTTTAAATAACATATACTTCTATTGATGAACAAGATCAAGTTTGATATTTTCTAATTATATAAATCCATATAACTTGTTATCTTTGCTCAAGTTACATTCTGTTTTCTATGAGCTTTATTTTATTAGTTGCCAAGAGCTCTCAATTTGCCAGTAAGGTCAGTGGGAGTTGAGGATGCTCAGCACCTCATAAGATCAGACCCTACATAACTGAGGAAAAAGGAAAACTTTATTTTTAAATACAGCACATCCAAATTATAATGTAGACTTGCAAAAAACAGTATTTATCAATGAGCGCAAAAATATGGTGCTCTAAATCTTTGACACAATGTAGTGAAAATGCATTGTACTGTAATCAGAAGATGTCGATTGAAAAAAAAATTGGTTCTCCACATCCTTTCCTGGTATAACTACTGGCAGAGGTGTGTTTTGGCTTTCTGATAATCTGTCAAGGACCATTTTCTTATGTGCATCCTATTGCCACCACAAGTCCAATTGTGCTGAATACTACTGCCAAGTGTTAAAATGCATTTTGGTATTGCACTCCTCTACAAGGAAGCAGACTGTTCTTAAATTTGGGGTTCAGACCAGAAACTAATGCTACCAGATCCTTAGCTGGTGATAACCACCGTAAGCTTCTGGAAAGACAAGGTGGGTAAGGTAATATCTCTTAGTGAACCAACTTCTGTTGGTGAAAAAGACACGGTTTTTGTGCTTATGCAGCTTTTCTTCCTACGACCAACTACAGTGTGGCTACATCAACACTGCAAACATAAAGTTCTTGGAAATTATTGGATGGGAAGTGCTATAGAAGAGCAAAGCAATATTACCTACTATTGGTAGGAAAAACTTCTGTTTTTTACGAAGTTATGTTTAATTTTCAGATGACAGAATGACTGGCATAGAGAATGAAACTGTAAGAGGCAAAGCCATGGAGGAGGAAAGCACCGAACAGAAAAAGGAACGAGAGAAAAAGAAAAGGTCGAGGGTTAAACAGGTGCTGTCAGATATAGCAAAACAAGTGGATTTCTGGTTTGGAGATGTCAACCTTCACAAAGACAAATTCCTCCGAGAACAGATAGAGAAGTCTAGAGATGGATGTAAGTTTGCTCTAAAATAATTGAGAAAGTGGTAAACAAATTTCTGTTTTGAATTGTAACTTCATCTGCAGTGGTGACGTTCTGAATTATTGCATATATAAATTATGGAGGCATTCTGCATGTTTAGCTGCTGTGGAGGGGGGAAAAAGCCCATGCAAGCAATTGGAGCAATGACAGTCCACTCATAAGAGAAATATGGGTACTGGGCTTATGAGGAATCTTATTTATCCTTTTTCCTTCCCTTACATCCTATTATGATGGTGCTTTTGGAGAATCTTCATGGGTGAAAATTCATGATTTTGTTCTTTTTTATTTGTTTTTTTGTTTTAAATCGGTGAAAAAGTATGAAAGCATAATCTCACTATTAATATTTGGTTTACAGTGTAGCTGGTATGGAATCATGAGAGCTCTCACTTTTGTTTTGCTTTTGGTTTTGTTCCAGCTTTTTTTATTTTGTGTTTTATGTATGTTTGGATGAGTGAATGGTTGTTCCTTTGCATGACAAGGAAGGCTAGTGACAGTTCTGTTCTCTGTCCTTTGATTTTTGTTTGTGTGGTTTGTTTGACTTTTATCTTATAAAGGAAAAAACTACAGGTGTCACAAACTTTTACTTAGGTTTCTTAAAGAACCACAGAACACCTGTCATTTGAGATGGAAAAGGTTCTTTCAGCTGTATTGTGCTATGTGATGTGATTTTGTGACGCTAGTACAGGCTCAAAGGTCTTTTGATTTTTTGGTAAGGTATTGTGGACATCCTCCTATGTGGGATTGTATGGTAAATGAATGTACTAGAGTTACTTTATATCAAATGCTATGCAATCTAAAAATGATGTTAAAGCCCTCTTCCAAACAGCTATATATTAACCTTTTTTCTGCATGTTAATCTTAAACTTGGTAAAAATGTTACCAGTACAAATATTGCAACATTTTCTGTTAAGCTTTTAGCAACATAACTCATTACTACTAAATAGAGGGAGTGAAGGGATCTTTTGTAATGGGAGCATTGGGTTGAATGTGAACACTAAGTGAGTGCTTGGAGGAAAGGCACATCTTCAGTGAAAAAGATTTTTGCATCATAAAACCACAATAGAAAGGGGTTTTTCTTCGTTTATTTCCAAAGAGAATAGTTACCAGTTGGAGTTGAAAGAATAGATCAAAATTCCTTTGGGAAGAAGGTAAATGGGGAAGAGAAATAAAATCTAAGATTAGGAAAGCCTAAATTACAGACAGTAAAAATCCACTTTTATGTAAGTTCTTGTCAATAATCAACATAGTTACAAACCAGAGGTATGCTCTTGCAGCCCTCATGCATGGAAATAGTCCCGGTGGCTTCTATGGTACTTTAGCAGGGGATCAGTATTATCTATGTATTCTAATATGAATGAGGCCTAAATATGTTTTCCTTTTTAACTTGCACTATTTTCACCACTTGCTTTTTTTCCCCCCCAGATGTTGACATATCACTTCTTGTATCGTTCAACAAAATGAAAAAATTGACGACTGATGGGAAATTGATAGCCCGAGCAGTTAAAAGTTCATCTGTTGTAGAAGTGTGTATTGTTTTTTCATTCTTTTTTAGCTGCTGTTACTGTAGTTGGGGTGGCAGACAATACTGTAGAAAATGCTGTCCTAATTTGTCTTTGTTGCTCTTAGCTGGATTTAGAGGGAACTAGAATCAGAAGACGTCAGCCACTGGGTGAGCAACCAAAAGATGTGGATAGTCGTACTGTATATGTGGTAAGGTTGCATCCGTTACATGTGTCTCATGTCTCTTGAAGGTTTATGGACTATTCTGTTGTTTATGAAGGTTAATTTAAAACTTTATTTCTTACTGAATTTTAGACTGTAAATTCCACAGTACCTGGTTTGTTTCTGTCTTGTAAAGTGCCACGCCATGAAAATGAGTGAAGGATTAGAAGGCATGCCTTATAAATAAACTGACTGAGCTCCTGGATTCTCTATCTTAATAAAGAGAAAGTTAAGAGGTGACTTGATTACAGTCTACAAAAGGGGTCGGCAACCTACGGCACGCGTGCCAAAGGCAGCATGCAAGCTGATTTTTAGTGGGACTCTGCTGCCAGCTGGGGTCCCGGCCCCTGGATGGACGGAATCCCAGGCCGGCAGCGGGCTGAGTGAGGCCGGCAGACAGGACCCCGCTGGCTGGGGCCGGCAGACGGGACACCAGACCGGTAGCGGGCTAAGCGGCTCAGCCCACTGCCGATCTGGGGTTCCGTCTGTTGCCCACACTGCCGGTCTGGGGTTCCATCCTCCGGCCCCGCTCAGCCCGCTGCCAGTCTGGGGTTCCGTCCGCCTGCCCCTGTAAATATAAAATGTATTACTGGCACGCGAAACCAGTGAATAAATGAAGACTTGGCACACCACTTCTCAAAGGTTGCCAACCTCTGGTCTACAAGTATCTGCATGGGGGAACAAATATTTAATAACGGGCTCTTCAATCTAACAGTGAAAGGTACAACATGATCCAATGGCTGGAAGTTGAAGCTAGACAAATTCAGACTGGAAATAAGGCATACATTTTTCATAGTGAGAGTAACTAACCACTGGAACAATTACGAATGGATGCATGGATTCTCTGTCACTGATAATTTTAAAATCAAGATTGGATTTTATTCTAAAAGATACGCTCTAGGAATTATTTTGGGGACATTCTATGGCCTGTGTTATACAGGAGGTCAGACTAGATGATCACAATGGTCCCTTCTGGCCTTGAAATTATGAATCTCTGAACTGGTTAGGATAATGAAGAACAAATAATGAATACTAGCTGGTACTCGAGACAGGTTGTTAATGGAATTAGAAGACTGGAGAACAATGCAGCTTTGGAGAAAGGAAATGATATACTTCATAACATGAATATTCTAATGTCACTTTTACTATTGCTTTTCTTTTGCTGTTAAATCAGGATGCAGCATATACAGTGAATGATTGAACTCAAATTAACTAATGTTAGCAAGATAAGCGAGATCTATTTTAACACACGAGGGGTATTTATATTGGAGAAATTTTTGTGTATTTTCCTGCACTATTGCTTCCACAGTTTGTAACATGAGAGGAGCTGCAGTGATACAGACAAGGGCTTATATATATATTCTCTTAGAGTAAACAAAGCTTTAGGATGATGATAGGGATAACTTGATCAGAGAAGATGAGTTTGACAGATAATCTAGAACTATTTTATAGGTCATTTGTAGAGCATACATTACAACACTAGTTATTCGTTTTAGAAGTACCAACATGTTTGTTGCAAATCTGGTTTGTCCTGTAGTATCGTCAGTCTTTTGATAGCAGAAAGCTCCTAAATTGGTTGGTTTCAGTGTTTTATTTCTGGAAAACTCTTCCAGTATCTCTGCACTGTGACTATACTGAGATTTTTCTGAAAATATCTCTGTATTGCTGCAGCACCAACATTCCAACAGTGCTAGCAATGGCAGTAAAAAAATGCAGCTGGCTGATGTAAGCTAGTGCTCCCTCTGAGGAGCTGTATTCTTGGAAGATTTTCAGAAGGAACTCTGTGTAGCCAGTTCCAACTTCACTGGGGCATTATCTAGGAGTCCCCTGGACTTCAGAGAGCTTTTATGGCTCGTATCAAAGTATAGTAACTCCTCGCGTAACGTTGTAGTTATGTTCCTGAAAAATGTGACTTTAAGCAAAACGATGTTAAGTGAATCCAATTTCCCCATAAGAATGAATGTAAATGGGGGGGTTAGGTTCCAGGGAAATTTTTTTCACCAGACAAAAGACAGACAGACAGACACACACACACACGCACACACACATACTAAGTTTTAAACAAACAATTTAATACTGTACACAGCAATGATGATTGTGAAGCTTGGTTGAGGCGGTGAAGTCAGAGAGTGGGATATTTCCCAGGGAATGCCTTACTGCTAAATGATGAACTAGTACTTGGCTGCGAACTCAAGGGTTAACATGTTGTTAATGTAGCCTCACACTCTACAAGGCAGCACAAATGGAGGGAGGGGAGACAATATGGCAGACAGAAACAGAGACACACACCGTGTGTGAGAAAGAGAGAGAGGTGCGCATTGCCCCTTTATTTACGTTGACCCCAATCTAAGTACATTGCCTTTTTAAGTAGATCATCAAGTTGAGACAGCAGCTGCTGCCGGCAAGTTCCCTCTGTCCTGAGCCCTGTTGTGTGTCTCCTCCCCCCACCCCACCCGCTATATAGAGGGGGACACCCTGACATTAGTCTCCCTCTTTCTCTCCCCCCCCCCCTCCACACAGCAAGCAGGAGGCTGCCGGGAGCAGCTCCAAGGCGGAGGGCAGGAGCAGCACCCAGCAGTGGTGGGGAGAGACAGCTGAACTGCCGGAAATTGATAGCCTGCTGGGTGGCTGCCAGACAGGGAACTTAGGGGAGCTGACAGGGGGGCTGCCAGTCCACCCTGGTTCCAAGCCCCCACCAGCTAGCTGCAACAGGCTGCTCTTTCTGCAAGCGGTGGACAAAGCAGGTGGCTGCCAAACAACATTATAAGGGAGCATTGCGCAACTTTAAATGAACATGCTCTCTAATTGATCAGCAATGAAACAACGTAACCGGGATGACTTTAAGTGAGGAGTTACTGTAGGTATGTAGCCATTTGGGGAACTGAGTTTTCATTGAACCAGCATTTTTTTTTATTTGTGTACCAAACTTTTTGTGATGGCATGTATTCAGTAACCACCATGTAGGTATATACATGTGCAAAATACCACAGCTCTACAGATCAGTAAATAACTTGGGTTGCTCTGGTCATTCTAGAGAATAAAGTATTTATACAGCAGCTACTTTCTTTAACAACAAATAGTGCTGTCTGGGCTTTTGTTAAGTGTGGTGTGATAGTGCTAATAGAATTCCCTAATGCAGTTGTAAGCTCTCTTTATTCCAAAGCTCTTCAAATATTTTGAAACTTTTCCGTCAATATCATTTGAAGTAAGGTGTTCCTATTTTAATGAGCTATTTAGTTAGGCTTTGATTTGAAATTGCTGTAAAAAGAATCACTGGTGTATATTTTGTAGATCACCAAATTCCCAAAGCTCTTATATGGAGAGTAATTTGCAATACACCTCTACCCCGATATAACACGAATTCGGATATAACGCGGTAAAGCAGCGCTCTGAGGGGGCGGGGCTGCGCGCTCCAATGGATCAAAGCAAGTTCGATATAACACGGTTTTACCTATAACGTGGTAAGATTTTTTTGGTTCCCGAGGACAGCGTTATATCGGGGTAGAGGTGTATATATCTGATCCTTCTTACCACCTACAGATTTTTTTAAAAAGAGAGAGACCAATGTGTTTTTTATACAGTGATTTAAATTTCAAACCCTGCTAAATCACTTCTTTTGATGTGCAACCATGGGGCGGTATAGTTGTATTAGGGTATGTCTACACCAGGGGTTCTCAACCTTTTTCTTTCTGAGGTCCCCCCTCCCCCGCAACATACTATAAAAAAATCCACAGCTCACCTGTGCCACAACAACTGTTCTTCTGCATATCCAGTATTTGAAAAGCCAGAGCCAGTGTTAGGGGATAGCAAGCAGGGCAATTGCCTGGGGCCGCACAAAGCTAAGTTGCTTGGGCTTTGGCTTCAGCCCTGGGCATCGGGGTTCGGGCTTCAGTTTTCTGTCCTGGGCCCTAGCGAGTCTAACGGTGGCCCTGGTCTCTGATTTATTTTGGTGAACCCCCTGAAACTTGCTCACAGCCCCCAGGGGGCCCTGGACACCTGGTTGAGAACTGCTGGTCTACACAACAATTAAAGATCTGCAGCTGGCTTGGGCTTGCGGGGCTCAGGCTTCAGGGCTGTACAATTTGTGGTGTAGATGTTTTGAGCTCAGACTGGGCCCTGAGCCTGGGCTCCAGTCCAAGCCTGAACGTCTGCACCACAGTTTTATAGTCCTGCAGCCCAAGCCCTATAACCCCAACTCAGCTGACCCCAGCCAGCTGCAGGTTTAAATACTGTGTAGGTATTCCCTAGGGCTATGTCTATACTGCAGTTAGACACCTCTGACTGGCCTGTGACTAGGGTTTTGGGCTAAGGAGATGTTTAATTGCAATGTAGACATTGCTCTGGAACTCTCCCACCTTGCAGAGTCCTAGCACCCAGGCTGATGCCTGAGCCCAAATGTCTACATTGCAATTAAACAACCCCTTAGCCCAAGCCAACTGACACAGACCAGCTGAAGGTTTTTAATTGCAATGTAGACATACCCTTAGAGTCCTTGATAGGTTCTGCTTCCATCCTGGAGAGGGGAAGAGAGAGGTTTTTGTGCAGGATCAACACAAAGACCACTTTTGTAGTCTCAGATGAATAGGAACACATCCTTTGCATATCACAAAAAATCTGCTACCGCACTTGGGCTCACAGGCACAATAGCATATTTTTCAGTGTATGCAGCAAGAATTAAGTCCATGTAATGTATTCCTTTAAGGAGTCTCTTCATTATCTTATCTATAGAAAGAAACTTCCCTTAAGGCTTAATTGAATTGTCAAAACATATTTTTGACGTTTAAATTTCAAAACAAGTTTTACAAAGATAATCTCTGTTAATAAACTTTCTCTGCTCTTGTATCAAAACTATAATGGAATGTGCTTCTCAGGCAGGCAGAGCCCATATTAAACCAATAATTTAACCAGAAGATTCTCTCTCTTTAGGAACAGTGCAGTGTCTCATCACTAAGTTCTTCAGTTAAAACCTTTTTAGAAAAATAAACCTGTTGGGAGACTAAATAATGCTGACATTGCAATTTTTGTTTGTATAAGTGTTTGAAGATGTATCTTGTCAAATGGGCTGCCCATAAGGGCCTCTTTAGAAAGGTATAGGAAGCTATTCCTGAACTAGAAAGAGCTAATAGTTTGGACAAGCTTCCACTGTCAACAGTAATGGGAAGCCAGTAGGAACTGAGGCAGGCAGTCTGCAAGTTGCCAAAATTTGTGGCATAAAATTGCCAATTCATATGTGCCTATTGCTCAGGCGACTGGCTGAAAACCCCGCACTGGTCGTCACTACAGATGGTCAATTAGCATACTAGTGCTCATCATAAAGTTTAAAAACTAAAGAGCTACCAGGTTTAATTTACCAGTTCTTTTCACTAGTGCTTGTTTGTTGTTGCATATGAACACCTATTTCTCTGAAGTGTGAGTTACCCAAAGTCAAAAAAACATTGTGCTGTGAATTGATTGTTTCAAGCCAATGATACTGCACTGGCTCAAGGGTCCTCATGCATGGATGTGGTAGCAGAATTGAGGTTTTGGTACAGGAAATAAGAAAATAACATATATCAAATGTATGTTGTTGTTTGTACCAAGGGTACAATTTAAAGCAGTGGTGGGCAACCTGCATCCTGTCAGGGTAATCCGCTGGCGGGCCGTGAGATAGTTTGTTTAC